GGCAGTTTTATGCACTACTGATCTTTGCGCGACGGCTGATTGCACATTATGCATTTTTCCCCTTTATACACTTAGAGCACGCGCGTATGGCGATTTGGAACTTCAGACATATGCAGTTCAGCCTAGTTACTGCGGCTTTGAACGCGCACAGCCTGTGTTCTGTGCTAGAGTGTTGTGGTCTAGACGCTGTAGTCCTTCATGTTCGGCATGGCCTATGGAAGAAATTATATTGTGAGGCTAGGATGAAACTGATTCGGTGTAAGAGCTTTTATTTCGCCAGCAGTATGCAGGTCCAACATGTGAAATGGAACAGCATTTTGCTCTGTTACATCTATTCCATAATAACCCACAGATGAAGCTAGGCATTTTTGCTAAGCCACTCACTTTACTTTCTCTAAGGTCTTCAAGCCATTTGACGTAATCCGAATCTGCTTCAATCGGTATAACGTCTGTTACAATAAAATCCCCATCTTCTGGCTCCTCAGGGTGTAGAGCATGCAACTTCCATGGGGAAACGAGGCTTTCAAGTGTAGCAAGTCCGTAGAGAGTTTCTCCACCTAAGTCAACGTCTTGGATTTGCATGCCGCTCTTAAAACAGGAAGCAAAATCAGATAGGGCCAACACGCCAAAATTATGCACAATCTGATAAAACATGCGCTTTCACAGCCCCATTTCTGTGGAGAAAAACAGTGGTGTGGAGGCAACCTAAGCAAACTTGAGAGTAGACACAAAACTGTGATATTGGCTCAGAACCACAAAGACAACCATGCATGCGTTCAAAGGACGAAGAATATTGCAACTATCACTTTTTAACGTAGTTGTAACGATGCATGTACATACAAATATTATATAATATGCACTTGCTTGTGCGTATGGTGCAAACAAGCGGGGACTAAATCTGCAGAGAAGCTTAAATCTGCGAAGGGGGAAAGAAGCAGTTTTCAAAAGGGATTTGCACATGGTCGTGTGTATACGTTGTTGGTCTGTAACAAGCATCTAACCAACTTTCAGGTCTGTGCAAGCACACGCAATGCCTTAAGTAGACATGACATAGTAAAATACCGTCAGATTCCCGCGACTGCTCCCTGAGTTCTGCATGCTTGTGGCTACAGTACAATCCTTATTAATTTAGCGCACCGACAAGTTTGCTTTTGAGCACCTGTAGTGTAAAATACGGATTCACCTTCAAGAATTCAGGGAAGACGTTTTTTCTCGCGTTCGCCACGGAATCTTGGTCGACTGTTACGAGAGCGCCAAAGGATTTGGCCGCATCTACATAGCTTTCTGCTAATGCTACCAACACATCGAACAGAAGTAACGAGAATCCGGCACATGGCAAAGCTTTTGTTCATTGGGGCGAATAATTCTTTACTACTGGTGAAAGGCTCACGGGGCTTTTACGCAAATAAGATTTGGGGGGTTCTCACCAGACGTTTTCTCATCAAGAGGGGCCATATCTGTAGGAAAGCTTCCTAAAGTCTTCTTCAGAGTATCCAGCACTTGGTTGAAGGCCTCTTTAGCTCCCACCGCAGCAAGCATATCTCCCTCACCTTCTTTTGAAAGGCATTCGGAAATCAGGGGTTCGACGACAGGAGCGTAATCAGATAGCAGTTCCCAGTTGTCCTCCTCTAAGCAAGTGTTGGTGATGATGCTACATCCCTGCCTTCCTATAGTCATGACCCAGCCTAGTGCCCCGCCAAATATGAGAAATATAACTACAACCCACGCCAATATATTCCAAAGAAGTGCTGGAGTCCCGCTGCCGGCACCGGCTCCTCGACAGAAAAACCAAATGGTCCAAAGAGCTATCAGCAGCAAGATGGCCAAGTCGAAGCTGCAGTCTACTTTAAGTCCTATGTCTAGCCACTGCAGTGCCTTGGAAACAATCCCCTCAGTGCTAGCAAGAGCATCAAATGCCGTCAAGAAGAGCTCTTTCACAGTTCCTATCGGAAAAATATCCTTAACATTCAGAACTGGAAGTTCGACTTTTTCAAAGATTTTGTCTAACTGTTTCTTCGGGTCAACTGCAACAATAACTTTGGCCGAGCTGCTCATTTGCTCCTCTATTGCCGCTATGTCTAGGCTGGCGCTTGGATCATTTACAGCATCACACCAGAGAGATTTGTGGAAGCTCCCCGAAAGTGAGTTGTTTGCAGAAAAGGCTACACACGCACTACTTAGATTTCCAATGGCCGTATTCATGTTTTCTGATATCGGGACAACATCTAAAGCCTTTGTCGCTGCCTGCTTGGACAATTCGACGACGTTGTCTGGGTTGCTGGCGTCGAAAAGCAAAACCAAAGCCTCCGCATTATCCACCAGAGGAAGCAGGCCTTCAAATTCATCGGGCAAGGGTGTGTCTGCTTGCGTGTCATTTCCTTGTAGTGCTTCGGTCCCTCGAAGTGTCTCGTTGGCGAATTCATAGGTTTGGCATTGCAGTTGCCTGGCGCCGTGTACCCCTTGACTTTGGTAGTGAAGGACCAAGCAGGCAAACACTATACCCATGAGAGTTAAAGCTGCAATAACTATTGCCCACACCATGCGTGAACAAAGTCCACTCTTTCCAGAGCAGCATTTCGAGCAGCAGCAGAGGCGGCGCAGGTACTTGTAGCAAATTGTAGGGAGACAACAAAGCAAGTATACAACAGCCACAATGGCGCCGGCGATAATCGATAAGCCGAACAGAAAACTGCTTTTTAGAACATCAGTCAAGCTCCCTGTTCCTTTCAAGTACTCGTAAAGAGCCGTTGGATCGGACTCTAGTGTTGTCATGGCCCCCAGTAAGTTGTTCATCCACTGATCCATTTGTTCCACTGCGCCGGAGACCTTCTCAGAGATGGCACATCGCAAGCAATAGTCGAGAAACACATTTGTTCATAACAGCTAAGCACAGTTGCTTTGAATAAATCCTTTAAAAAAGCGCAACAGAGCCAGTGCGTCTGGATATTGTTGTGCTGAGCTTTTCTGTGCCAATCAGTGTGCTCTCCTGATTGATCGTGTCAGCGTGTAGGGTTGCTCACGGAGCTTCCAACCTTGTCAAACAAACTAGACCTCACACTTGGAGAGCACGCACGCTTTATTGCCTCCTCAAATGCCTCTAGAGTGCTTGATGAAGGAAGCTCGCTCTCCTCGCTGCCTGACGAATCTGTATTTTCTCCACCTGTAGAAGGGGATTCGTTCTCGCCACTCTCCGTGGATCCACCATTGCGATCTTCCGGTGGCTTTGCTCCTCCAGTCCCCGGTGAGGACCCTGTATTTTCCCCTTGTTCAGCATTGGAATTTCCGCTGGAGTTTGCTCGCAGGCGCGGAGGACTGTTCAGCTTCTCATTCGTTCCCTTGCTTACTGCGCCAAATGTGCAAGTGGAGCATGCAACAAAATGTTTGCTACAGGCATGGAAAGTGAGCTTTTTCTCTTTGTCAGGCTCCCAGCCACGTGGATATCCACCAGTTGATTGCTAGATTGTGCTAGATTGTGGCGTTTTGTGCCGGCTACGCCTTCTGTGGCGGCCTCCACGCACTGTGGAATTATCTTCTTCAATTCAAAGTGGAGGCATTCGCTTAACGTTTAACACACTTAGGATAGGAACAGCGGCGGTTTTGCAAGGTAGCTCATGCTCGCAAATTCTCTCGTTACACTCAGTCAGGTGTTCCCCTCTTTTTCACACTTGCGTAGAACTAGAGGTAGCCCGATTTAACAGAAACTAACCTGAAGATGCTCCTTTATATGCAGTTACATAGTTTGTGTCGTTTATGGGGAATGCCGCAGCGAAAGCAACAGCAAGAATCATGGAGACGAGAAGGAGCCTTGACTTCCAGTGGCATCTTTGCCATTGGCAAACGCTTTTGGTTACCATGTGGGCGAAAGCTATGGCCAAAGCCATTGTCACTAGTTTGCAGTAGTAAACCTGCGAAGGCTTGAGCGAATTTTCTTGTCTGGGAACTACAGATTCTATTGCTTGTCACTTCAAACGCCCCTGTCAGACTACGAAGCTCAATAATCCTGCCTATCCAGTGTGCTTTTCTTTTATGACCCTACGAGTTTGTGGGATCCTCAAGAGCATAGATGCGAACGCTGTTGAGCTGCGCACAGTATGCAGAAGCAGCGAGGAATCTGCTGCTGCGTTGTCGGTATATCGCCACTGGCATATTCCAGCTGCTCAAGGAGGCTACAGATTCCAGAAAACTCAAAGGTTTATTTTAAAAAGTTCATCGCTTCGGTTTAACTCTCATTGGTTTCAAGCCATCTCTGTTGGGATGGAGACACGGTCACTTCGGGCAGCGGGAGGCAGGGCAACGAGTTCAATGAAAATCAAAGTTTGAGGGCAGAAGCAACCAGCAGCGCCAATGCTTACACAGTGCATGACAAACTTGAAAAAAAGTCCAAATTAGTTCTGGTTTAGTTCAGCGGTGTTTCCGGAGTGGGACTGGAGAAGGGCGCTGGGGGGCCGCTGGACTGGTAGGTGACCCTGAATAGCTCTAAAATGCGGAGACCACTCCTGAGTAAGATGTTCTGTTGCACTTTAGGACTTTAATCGGAGTGTTTCAGTCGAAGCTTACGGCGAGGCACTTAGTGGTGCTTCCTGCAACTAGCCACTAAAACAGATCCCATGTGCCGCTGCTGGTGTGCCTCGTGTTAGTAGATTACACAACTGAGAAATACAACAAGGAGAAGCCAAAAGCAAGTACATGTAGACATTACTCGATTCCGGGATATAGGAAGGAAACTTCAATCAAAAGAGACTGCCAGAAAGAAACTGTGGACCTAGTAGCCCCTGCGTACTAAGGGCGGTTCGGACCAATATTAGATGGAATTGCCGCCGTTGACGTTCAAGACAGATAGAGCCATTTTCTCCATTCAACAGTGTATCTGTAGTCTCGACCCGAGGAAACTTGCAGTAGCAGCGGCAAATGCAACCCTGGGCTAATGTAAAGCTAAGACCAAAATGCTAGATGCGAAGAACTTCTGAAGAAGGAAATCACCCTGGCCTTATGAAGAAGAAATGTTAATGCTAGAGTCATGCGCGCTAGACTGGCCATCCGTTACCCCACTAGACGCTTCTCTGTGGGCTCCTAAAGCCACTGATGCTTGGGACACGATCAAGCCAGCAGAGGGGTCTGCAAACCCTCACCGCAATCCAGCAGTCGCTCTCCATGATATACCATCCATGATGTCTCGGAGCAAGACACCTACAAGCACGCCTTCGATATCTCACTCGCCTGTGCACATGCCTCCATTTCTCCAGCCGCTGGTAAGCAAGCACAGTGCCAACTGCGGGAAACCGGCCCCTATTCCCGCCTCTTCTAAATCACTAACCAAGGCGTCGCTGAAGGAGTACAGCGAAAAGTCGAGTGTGGGAGATCTTAGGCTGCCTTCAGTCCCTTCAACCGCCTCCACCACAACAGCTGATACCACATCAAAGGCAACGGATGCCTCTAGCAAGGAACCTCCGCGAGAAGAAACGCATGCAGCTCCCGCTACTCAAGCTTCTAAGAAACAATCAAAGCCTGCAAAAGTAACTGCGGAGGCCCCTATAGAAAAGCTGACGTCGCTTGCATCTGCCTCGTCTTCGGCTCCTAGCGAGTCTACAACTACTAACCTGAACCAGCCAAAAGTTTCCGCAGCGGCCCCAACGACACAGCTTTCGTCTCTTCCTCCAGTGAAAGAAACAGAAAATATTGAAGGGCAAACTGCGGGAAGAAGCTCCGAAAATGCGGCGTATGACCCTTCCGTAGCTCGCCTTATTGCAGCTCTGGGGGCCTCCAGCCTCCGATTGGCGGCTGCTGCAGAAGAAGGCCTTGACAGCAGCCCTTCGGACTTTGGCAGAAGCACGCTTGAGCTGCCTGCGGGGTCGACGAGGCGTAGGCTGAGGAGCGAAACAACAGAAGTCGAGTCAACAGAGTCTTCCGTGACACCGCCAGCAACCAGTTCCAGGGGAATTTTTCTAACACGGAACTCTCCCCTCAGAAGACCAATCTTGCCTGCCCCTAAAGCTGGCTCTACTTCGGTGGGCAGAAATGGTTTGCAAGGCCTTCCAAACATTCGCCGAGGCAGCCAGGTTTCTGGATCGTCAACACCTCAGCTGAGTCCTCTCAGCGAAGACTTGGGAAAGGCCTCAAGCCCACCCGGAAAACTGAAGCCAAAAGAAGTTAAATTAAGCACAAGACACAACTGTGTGGGTCCAGTTTTGCTGGGACTCTCCCCTGGGATGTCAAGTACTGACCAGACCACTGACGTCCTGCCCTCGACCACCCGCATAGCGTCTTGCAGCAACGCGTACAGCCCAACACCAGCACGCAGCGCCCGCGGGAGTGACTTTGGCAGCGATGGTCCCAAACAAACAGGGTGCGCAATTTCTTCGAAGGAAACCACATCTCCAATTAGTGCTCCGACCCATTGGGGAAAATGTAATCGCTCTCCCGAATGGCGTCTGCCTGCGCAAGATCTACTGGGGGTTGAAGGCTCAAACCCCAAAGGCACTTCAGCTGCTTCACATGGGGAGGAGGAGGAGCAGTTTTCTCTGCTGCTGCAGCACTCTTTGGGGCTGTTGCGGCGCGAAGCGGCCCGATGTTTTGCAAGCTCTCAGGCGTCTGTCAAACAAAAGCTATGGAAGGAGCTACAGGAAGAAAAGTGCTTGCGGCTGCAGCTTCAGCAGGAGCACCAAGCGAACTTTGCTGCTGCTGAGGCCGAGCTAATATCTCTGAGAAAGCGCCGCGCGGATGACAACAAACGGTTGGAAAAGTTGTTGGAAGTTTGCTGCTGCGCGAAACAGACAGAAGAAGCCTTTCGGCTCTTGCGAACCGCCTGGAAATGCTGGCAGCTACAGAGAGTGCACACTAGAAGACTGAAAACGCTTCAGAGACTTTTTTTCCAGCGTAGAGTACTCAAGATTCTGCTGAGAATTTTTTTGCCTTGGAGAGCAGCAGCTGCAAGGCGCATTTTCGAACAGCAGAGGCTGAAGGCTCAGGAGCTCTTACAACAAGAGATGGAGCGATTAGGACATTTGCATCAGGAAACCATACAACAGCAGCACCAGGAGCTTCAGCAGCTGAGACAGAAACTCGCAAATGAGGTTTACCTCCGCGAGTGCCTGCAGCAAAGTCTTATTGGAATAGCTTCTAGTGGAAGCATCGGGATGCCTTCCCAAATGGCTCCTAGACCAAGCCCTTGTGCCTTGGCGTCCAGTTCCTCGCCATCCTCTTCAGCTGTATTGAACGCTAAGCGACAAACGCAGCAGAAAACTCAGGATCATCTTAAGCGGCAGCCGAATGCTCTTGCAGTTATAGGAACCCAGACGAACTTAAAGGGCCGACGGACTGCAGCAACCCAAAAGCCCTTACGACAACAGCAGGAACAGCAAGCACAGTTGTGTGACGTGCCAGCTCAGCTTTCCTGGTGGCAATGGATGCTGCAGAATGCGGGGCTGGGCACCCAATTCCCTCAAGTAATCCCTACGTCTGCATTCAACAAGGCTGCTTATGGGGCTGCAAGTGGATCCATAGAAAGTACCGGGCGCCGCGTTAAATTTGTGGACGAGGAGGTGCAGCACCAGCAACAAGAACAGCAGAAGCTGCTGCTTCTTGCCAACTTACTTGGGGTTTCTCCCCCTTCTAGACATCTGGAAGAAAACAGCCAGTTGACAGGAATTCTCCCGGGTGCCCCCCTTCGTACCCAACAAAAGCTTAACTCCCCAGGAATGGTTACATGTGCTTCCGAACCGACCCTTGGTTCCTGGAGATTGCTACGTGACAGGCAAACAGCAGGCACAGGAATTGCTGTAGCAGCAGCAAGCGATTCATCGGGACACCAGGGCTGCGCAGCACATACTATGCTTAGCGCAGAGTGCAACACATGCCAAAGTGCTTTATGGGGACCCAAAATAAGCACCACATTTGAACTGGAATGCCAACCGCACAAGCACAGGCGGTGGACATCAGCGACCCATTCTACCCCAAAGATGTAAGGGTTTGATACCACGGAAAATGGAGTTTCCTTGTTTCACGCCAAACATGCCTGCATGCTCCGAAGTTGGGAGCAAAAGGCTCAAACACAAATCCGCGAAACAAGCAATAGCTATCAGGTTTTCGCTTCATTCTGCGGCTCAGTGTCAGTGCAGTCCATCCATGTGGCATCGGGGTAGCACAGGGCCGCTTCTGTTTGCTTACGCCTTGCGTGTCATCATGACAACTTCTTGCTTTCTCTGACTTACTGGAATCAAGCAACAGTTAATAAATGGGTGGCGAAAAATTGGCTAGATGTGGGAGTGATTGGTATTTGTTTTGCTTTATAAAGCTTGATACGTCATATGTCAGCGGTCCACAGTGCAGCTCATTATCGCTGGACACAAGTGGCAACTTTCATACTTTCCTAACCTCCCTTTTCCGCTATACACATGCGTTTCGTTTCACGCTCTGCAGTAGCTTCACGTTGTGAGGCACTGAACTGCCAGTATGCGGGCTGAAGACATTTTTTCTTGCGATTCTTTACGGAAACCTTTCTAGAAAAAAGCAGATCGGAAGGTTACATTGGTAGAGTCAATGTGTTGGCGCGGCCCACTGGCGCTAGTTCCTTCACGTGCGAGTGTACACCAGCACTAGTTACACTAGCAGTGAGCTTGCTAAGTGGAAGCTAACATAGGATGAATATTTAATTCACGGTCTGTCATCGCAGGAAGGTTTCTGTGCTGGCACCCAGCAGTTCAGACATCTGAGCAAAGGCACGTTTCATTATGGGGTTCCCTTCTTCAGCTGAGCCTAGAGGACAAAAGGGTGTTTTCTGGTTGAAATGCATGCCTACTGACGAGCTTACTCGGTCTGCAGCAAACAGCCTTGCCTCGAGTGCCAGTTGTACCTCAGCAGTGACTCCCTGCTGCTCATTTGTCAACACACAAAGTTGCTGCTTCATCACTGCTTTCCTCTTTCAATCAGAAATTCCATCACAGCATGGGGTCAAGTGAAGCAATCAATACGCATTATGCGCCATTTATGTAATTACGTGCAGGAACGTTCACGTGGCGCGGCTACCACGGTTGCGTTTCCTGTTACAGCACCAGAAACAATTTTTGCTTAGACACAGATTTCGGTACTTTTCCATAATTTGCAGCTCATTCCAAATCATTGTTTCCTACGGTTCCATTCTGGCGCCACTGAGGGTGCCTTAAAACATTTTTAGAAATGTGCGTGCTGTATGGAGGGGGCCGTTTACCCCAAAAGTGATGAGGCACTAGGCGTTTTTCATGTCGGCCCGAAAGGGAGACAGAAAATAGGATTGGATATTTCTAGCTACTCTGCTGAAAGCGCCAGTTGCTACTGCTTCCGAATTGTTTTTGCATCTGTTTATTTGCCCTAGTGTGCAGGGAACGTCTAGCCATAATTTGTATCATGGAGTAGTAGAATAAGTTCATCTTCGAGAAAAAATAGAGTGGGTCCAGTGGTATCTTCTGGTAGTTGGCTCAGCATGATTCTTATGGTGAAATGTAGGCGTGAAACCAAGAGAGCTGCGGCAGCCCCAGGCGCACCATTTTAGGCGCAAGAGAGCAGCATGTGCATCGCCTGGAGGACCCCTGCCAGGTTTTGTTTCGTTTCAAGAATGTGCATGCAGCTCCCTGCTTTTCTAGGCTGGTCTACAAGGGGCAAGGGTCAACCAGCAACTCAAGAATATTTGCCAGACGCCTGTGCTGGTAACACACTGATTTGTTTGCAGCCACATATGTTCACACCTTTCAACACCCCACCTTCATCCGTGTTCACTCTAGATAATGAAGGGTTGTAAGCACATCTTAGGCTGTTACTTCCCGTGCACACACGCTTAGGCGCTCCGCGTAGCCAGTCACGAAAACATTTGAATTTTCGTGACTCACTGAAGAGCAGATGCTGTAGTGCGCGGGATCCACTTATTAGGGCATTCGGCATCTAGAGGCCGGAGCCTTACGTGCGTGCAGCCCTAAGCTTGACATGCTTAGTGGAGCTTTCCCTCGTTATCTATTTAGCTAACAGCGCAAACGCCTTAGGCAGATGCCTGCTTGCGGCTAGTGGTAGAAACATAGCCTGGATGAGACTTTCTGAAGTCTGCCATCCGTGGAGAGCTGCACTGCCCGTTTCTAGACTCTTGGCAGGCATCACAGTAGCACTGCACTTCAACGTTTCGGAGGCAACCAACTTGACTGCACATGGGGCAGTGGGGTCTTCGGTACTTCGACGAAATGTTTTCATTGCTGGAGCACCGCGAAGGAGGATTCGGCCTGCACGGTTTATTTCTCTGGCGCTTGCACGGAAGGTTGCAGGGATGCTGATTCGGAGTTGACTCCACAGTGGCTTCAGTTGGCGCCACGTCCTTGTTGCTTTCTCCGTGAGCAATCGACTTGCGAGATTCTGTTCTGCAGCTGTTGCAGGATTTGGTGGACTCTGTTTTCTTAAGTCCACTGGGCACATCTCTTGTGGGTGGCGTTTGCTCAGTCACCTCGGACTTCCGTGACTCCACAGCTTGGTTGGTGCCACTTGAGCCTCCCCTCTTCAAGTTGCTGGACTCACTCTTGACCACTGTGCTCACTGTAGACACATCTGCAGTGGAGCGGTTGCTTGCGCTTGCCTTTCGCTGGTCTCGCCTCCTGCAGTCGAGAGCGCAACCAGAAGGCATGCGAAGCAGCTGCTCGCTTTCCAGGGGCAGCGGCAAAATTTTCTCAAATGACGCCTCATTAAGTTACAAAAAGAAAGCTAGAAGGGAATGGAGTCTGTGCTTTTATTTGGTGCCAGTCACTAGTACTTACGCAGCGCTGCGGCTTCTTGTCATTGCAAGTTTCGTCGTGAAAGTTTCGCAAGTTTCCCTCTCCGCTCGACGCGCAGCCATGCGCGGGGAGGAGCAACGAGGCTTTCCAGAAGAGCATTGGTAGCAGTGGCAGCGGCAGTCGAGGCCGGGTCTCAGGGCCTCGCCAAAGCCGCACTTTTCGCAGTGAGGCCGCAGGACTTCCGGCTCTTCTGGCGCCAACAGCCGACGGCTTCTCGTGGAAGTTCTGGTTCCCGTTACCTTCGTTTTAGATCCAGCTTTTCCCGCGGAATCCCTGGGCAAAGGCAGCATGTAGGTCTGCGCTGGAGTGTGTTTGGGATGCATTTATTAGCTGTAACAAGGAAACTGCCAGTGTTGCATAGCAGAGATGGTGGGCTTAACCAGTAGGTGTGAGCAAACTTGCATTTTTCCACTCAAAAATGCTCTCTAAATGCACAGAAAATTAGCACTTTTGAAATTTATGTGGAAAAGTCCCCAATGAGGGAGCACTCAAATGGTTGGGTGCAGCGTCTTGGGTGCTCACCTTTCTGGATTCTCCACTTGACAGTAGAATGAGCCCGTGATGGTGGTTGTGGGCCCCTTAGAGGCTCTTGAAGAAGCTCTCGATGGCATTTTCTGAGTTGAATTTGTTGTTGTGTCTGCCACAACGTAACCGCCACAGTGATCCCTGTTTCAAGTGTTCAGAGCAGCCTTAATTTTTGGCCTCCAGCACATGGAAGGAAGGAACTGTAGACGGAACAATGCTAATTGACTGAAATTAATCCTTTTAATACAAGTTTTTTAGCTAGAAAGGCGCGTTTCAAATCGATGCTGTGCAAAGGGAGGGATGCGCCTTTCATGCCGGTGCGGCGATCACTTGCGAAGCCTGCACGGTGGCTAGTATTCTTGACTTACTTATTCCCTCTTGAAAGCTCTAAAGTAAGCAGCAATGCAACAGAGGTTTCAGGGAAACACTAAGTTTGTTCCAAGTTTCAACAGCCAGTTCTCGGCGGAGGCTAGCGGCCTCCACCGAGAGCTCCGCTCTCAGGTGCGCCTAGTGACCTCAGCAAAGGCACTGCCACCGAAAGCCCCCTTTTTTGCAATCATAGCAGCCAACGTCTCTCGTGGAAATTGTCAGTTGATTTGCGCTGAATATTTGGCTATTATACCTGGTAGTACCTTTCGGTGCTTGGTACAGTTGGGTATAGGAACCAGGGTTACCAACACATGTACGAGCAGACACAAGGAGCTAGTGGCATCTCACAACAGTTCGCGATGTGCCGAGCAACCTTTCCAATTTCCGTTTTCTTTTCTTTTTCTAGATAAAAATTTTGAAAATCTAGATGTGCTTCATTTTGGCAACGTGTATTATTTAATGGTACCGTACTTCACACTAGTCGAGTTCCTAGGCACTGCCCAAACACCCACATGCCATTTGCGTCTTTGCTTAATTGGTCACTCACGGACAGCCAGATCCAATGGCTAAAGAATGGCTATAAAATACGTCTATACTGTGTCCAATTAGATTTCTTGTAGTCCAGGGGCAGAGCTTGAGTGTTGCCCCATCAGTAAACAAAAGGAGAAGCGCACTGAAACGCATTATATGCTTTATGGGAGATAACGTACTTTAATATCGTCGATAGCTGCCACAGTACTCCTGGAGAACCACCGTGGCTTTTGCATGCAAAAGCATATGGTGCCACGAAACCAAGCTGCTCGAGGATAGCGAAGCCTACAGTGCTCCATTAAATACTTCACATACTAGCGATCTATCGCAAAAACTGCCAAAAGACTTATCATTTTGTGTTAATTCTATCTGCATGGAACAACATAGCTCATCCTACTGTTAATAAACTTGGGATTTCGCGTTCTGGCGAGGTCAGCACACAAGAGTCACGAACAAGCACCCCCAGGCTCTATACTACAATGATAACATTACCAATTAAGACCTTTGGTAGCCGTCTTTGGATCACGCAGCTACGGGGACCTATCCCCAGCCTAGCTGCAGCAAATGCTAGATTCCCACAGACTAATACCTTTTTCCCACGGAAACTGAATTAACATGCCAAGTTTTTGCCTCTAAGGGCCCAGTCATGCGGTGTGTCTGACCTTAAATCAAAAAGCAGAGCCAGATGATACAGAGTAGCAGTATATTGGCTGATATCGGTGGCTTCTTTGCAGTGAAACGCGTGTCGGCCGTGG